GGCAGGATTCCTAAGAACCCTTATGACAGTACAGCTTACACATTCCAGGGTGAAGCAGCCCATTTATATGGTAAATGCGTTGGCCCTCCCATCAGGCAATGCTGAATTAGTTTGCCTTCCTTAGGCCACATGTTCCTGCTCTCAAATGAGAACTCCAGAAATTTAGCAGCAGTTGCTTTTGGTCTTGATTTTAAGAGCTGTTTGTAGTCTTCAGAAATGAATACAGCATCATCTTCTAAATTGGTTCCTGCTAAACTTAACTGTCTTCATACTGAATACTGCTTTGTCCAAATTTTAGGGCTTGGTTTTCTAGGATCGTTTGAAGGATTTACATTTTGTAAGATTTTTGTAAAGTGAAACAGATGTTCTTCACTGTCTATCCCCCTCTTATGCTATGGTATCAAATCCTTCTTTTCCTTTCTTAAATTGATTTTCTGTGGACTGTTTTGAGGGAACTTCACATTTTTAAACACTAGGCTTATCCTGGGCTTTCCAGGTAGCTCGGCGTTAAAGAATCTATCTGCCAATGCAGGAGACGCAGCAGTAGGTGGGGAAGATAGATCCCTGGGTTGGGAAGATCCCCTGAAAGAGAACATGGCAACCCGCTCCAGTATTCTTGTCTGAAAAATCCTACGGACAGAGGATGGGCTACAGTCCATGGGGTTGCAAAGGGTCAGACACAACTGAGTGACTGAGTATGCAGGTTTATCCGAGGCTTATGCATGTACTGTATGCATATCTGTGCTTTATAAATAAAACGAGCAAGATTCCCTCTTCCCTCGTGGTTGGGGGGCATAGTCCTGTCAAGAATGCACACCTTGGAGTCAAAGATTTGGTTTTGGATCCTGCGCCCACCCTTATGGGAACAGTAAGATGCCTTGGTAAGCTCAGCATCTACAACTTCAACAGGAGGTGCTATTCATCTTGCAGGACCATAAAGGGGAGAGTGCTGGCATCTAATTAACGTTCTGTTCTGGAAATCCACTCTCTACTGCCTGCAGCCTAGATTCAGCCTTACCTTGCCCAAGCTTTCCAGCCTGCCCACCGCTCCCCCTTGCCTTTGTCCAGCCTGCCTTTGCTTCCTCGTCCTCCCCTGCCGAACTCCTACCCCGTGAAAGCCCAGCTCAGGCAGCGCTTCCCTTGGGATACTGTCCCGCTGCCGCTCTAACCACCGACCCCCGCGGACCTCACGGCCTCCAGTAGAGTGCTGCCCACTCACGCTGCTCATGTAGTGCTGAGGCCTGTGTGACTCTTTACCCTTGGCCGTTAACACAGGCCTGGGCGCTTGCTGATGTAAAGGACCAGTGCCTCTGCTTACCAGAGAAACTTCAGAAAGATAAAAATTTCTGCCCAAGATTCAACACTTTCACTGCCCTACCATGGCCTGGGTTCAACCCCTGGTCAAGGAACTTGAGATCCTGCAAGCTGCAGTCAAAAGCAAACAAAAAGAAAGAAAGAAATAATGCCAAAAGATCAAAATTTCAGGCTGGCCTCTTCCCCATAATAACTGTCCTGCAACTTATGCAAGGAGGCTTCAGGAAGAAAAGAAAAAAGGAACATTACAAACAAAAGGAATACCAAGAACTTGTACCAAAAAATTATACGACAGACACCGAAAGTGGACATGTGAACAAACAGTTCTCCAGAAAATCAGTGATGGATGGTAAAGAGTTGATTGCTTTAGCACAGGCCTCCTGTGTGGGCTCAACCCAGTAAGCATTTATGGAGGAAATAAATGAAAAATACTTCATTTACCGTGAGATGTGTCTGTGTACATTTCCAGGAACAAGGAGACGCTCTCTTACATAACCATGTAAAGTGATCAATTTCAGGAAATTTAACATGAACTCAATACTATTCTAAGATTATCCAAACGGTGTCAACTGTCCCAGTGTCCTCTCCGGCTACTTTCCTCATCTTAAGGGTTGCCCAAGGGTTAGGCATGCCACTTGGTTATCATTTCTTGTTAGTCTTTAAACATTTCCTCAGTTTCTTTTTTCTTTCATGACATCAACATTTTGAAGACTTCAGGCCAGTTATTTTGCATAATACCGCTTGGTGTGCCTTTTATGTTTCCTCAAGATGAGATTTATTCTGAAATCTGGAAGGGTAGACTGTCTCTCACAGTACATGGATGGAACTTAATCACCAACACTCTCCAATTTTTTTTTTCCTTTAATTTTTTCAGTCTAGTCAAGAGCTGTGTCAGTTGTACAACTTTTTCACTGAACAGCCCTGGGTAAGATGGGATTTTCCAAGTACACAGTAACTTTCTTTGACTTGCTGCATCATAGCGTGTGATGACATTGCAAGAGCTCCTTATTCAAAATGAACTACATGACATTGGCACACGGTGTTGCCAACACAAATAATTCCATTGCATTCAGGTTCCTTTGTCACAAATATTCCACAACATGTACATACAGGATAAATGCTCTCCATTCAAAAAAGTGAAATACTTCTTTCACTAAGAAACCACTGCATATATAATTTTTAATATAAGAATTTACCCATGCTAATACACATGATTTTAAATGTCTCATCATATTCTGTCAAGTAGAATGTGACCTAATTTACTTCTTCTGTTCTATCGTTGGACATGTAGATTATTAGTAATTCAGGATGTCTCATTTTTCACTGAAAAATTTTTGTATTAAAAACATTCCATTGCCTTTTTAGGTAAAGGTTTTAGAAATTACAGGATAAAGGACTTGAACATGCTAATGGCTATTGATATATATTGGTAAAAGGTTATGCCCATTTTGACTTCACCAGCGATGGATGAGAGTGCCTTTTGAAATCTACCCTTGTCAACACTGAGGCTAATGTGGGAAAACAAACATTAATAAGAAAAAAAGCTACTTGAAGTATAAATGTCTATCCCCTTGCTTTCTACTGAGGTTGAACATTTCTGCATATAATTTGTTAACCTGCGAATGTCCTCATCTCATAGTGATAATTTTTTAATATCTTATCTCCTGTAGGGATATTGCAAACCCATTGGGATATCTCTAAAACATACTGTGGAGTTTATACTAAAAGGGCAGCATGCTGATTTATGAATCATGTGGATTGTGTGAACATCAAACATTAAGTGATCAGATAGAAGTAAAGGGTATTCGACAGAAGGTGAAAAGAAATGAAGGCTTAAGTTGTCTCAGAAAAACCAAAGCCAATGCCACACGGGTAATAAGGACATATGTTTTGATTTCAGTTCCAACAGTAATTTTTCTCTCATTCCCTGAAAACAATCTCCCCAGCTGGTCTGCATTAAAGGTAATAGCACAAAACAACAAAAATCAGAGAGAGCATTTTTTATAACGAAGCAAAGAACTAAGAGGTCAACTTGTTTCCAAGGAAAGTAGGATCTAATCTCATTAGATTCTTGAATCAATTTGACACCAAATGATAATGGCTGTCCTGTGCGTCTAGGCTCACTCAGAAAGTTTGGTTTCCCTGCAAAGGATCTTAAATGCAACCATTATATGTCCTTATTTATAATGTTTGACTGCATCTCTGCAATAAATCGTCAAGAAGAGAAATTTATATATAATTAGAAAATGACAAAGAGAATGATTCCATAGTATCCTATTAGCTATATAACTTCTAAAATAAGTAAGCCATCATTCATTGTTATTAATCTCCCAAAGCTAAACATTTTAAACTAACCTACATTTTGAGTCACACCTGTAGAACCACACCATAGACAGGCCTGGGTGCTTGATACGGTCATTCACTTCTGATGTAGTCGGTTAATATTACCACACAAAGGTATACTCTCAATTCCTAGCGCCTTAATTTTCTGAGAACAGGACTTTTTACTGTTAGAATTATTCATGGCTCCATAGTATCTCAAGAACCACATGCCTATGGTAGCTACTGGATAAACAGCTAGAAATTAATCCAATGCACCCAAAATGGGATTAATTTACACAGGAAAGAAAAAGTATGTCATGGGCAGTGGGGAGTAAACTATGGGTCTAAAAAGTGGTCATCATCACAGCTTCACAGAGCTGTTATCCACTGTTTTATTGGGATTTCACATAATATACATACAGGTGTTCTTCACGTAATTTGACATATACAGTGTTTTAAAATCTAATTGCTTGATTATGAATATGCTGAAAGAATATCTCAGTAATACCCTAAGTAAATAATTTCTAAACCAAGAAGTGAATTTCAGATTGCATGAGAGGCAGAGAAGCTGATGATCAAAGTGGATGCAGCACAAAGTGACCCCAAATACCATCTCTCAGTAAAACACCGGTTTTTGCCAGGTATTTAAAGCCTAAACAGTCCAATGTAAATTAACTGTTTTTGTTTCAAGAAACTGGGCAGGTCTTAAAAATTGTTATTTACCTGAAATTTTTCACATTTGATTCAAGTCAAAATATTCCTAAATGTTTCCCATGATGAGTTTGGCAGTGCATCCTGTATCAGGCTGAGGGATTATACAGCTTGTTACTACTGACACATAAATAAACTCTTCTAGGGCAACCTTCAAAATGTAAAAGACTGTCAGCCCACAGGCCATATGCACCTGAGGCACTCTGACTTCTCTACCAAATTGAGCCTTAGAAAAATTTCAAGAAGCGAAACCTTCCCCATGAATGTTGGACTTCTTTCCTGGACTGGTTCCAATGATGGACTTGAATAATATGGAAAAACAGGAAATGAGCTCAACTTTTCCATCTTTTTTTGTTTTGGACAATATTAATCCCAAGACTCCCGGAGATATACCCACAAGAAAGACATCATTATGAGATTAACTCAGCAAAATTCCCAATTTCTCCCGAACATCATCTTCCTTCATGCTCTGATTAAACAAGTTTGGGTGTGTTCTATCTGCATTATACACACCAAATGTAGAAAACTCCTCAGTAACCCTCCCTTTTCTTAAGAAATAACGCTGACCAACCAACCACTGGTGGCCCCACTTGGTTGAAGGAAGATGGTGTCACTGGTGAGCTGAGACCCTAAGGGTGCACTCGGCCACTTACCTTGCCTGCTGGCAGACACAGCAGATCCACACCTTCTCGTGCTTCTGGTAGGAGCAGCAACTCTTGCAGACGTTGAACTTACAGTCCCCACACCGGCGCTTGGTGTTGACAAGGAAGGTGAAGGGCGAGCAGCAACGCATACAGCAGTGCTCCACGAACTTCTGGTGCTTGGAGAGGATGCTGCACTTGCTGCCTTCCTCATCCAGCTTCTGCTTCATCTCACTGGGAGCCGGAGGGTGGTGGGGGGAGAGGGTGAGGAGAAGAGAAACAGCACATCAGCTCAGGGGGCTCCCTCCCTAAAGCGCCTCACCCTGGCCCCCCTGTCTGCCAAGCTACCAGGTAGGATCTTCCTGTAAAACAATACAACTCAGGAAGTCCAACGGCTTGACATACTATCCAGAGAGGAACCCTAATGGTGGATTAATTTTGTGTTCTTCCATATGTCATATTTTCTATAAGAAAGCACAAAACCTTACTACTTATATTTCAGACACCAGATTGAAATATAAGTTATTATAAAACTAAGCACATTAAAAAAGAACCCTTTAGCTTAATTAATGCCTTTTTAAAGGAGCAGAAGATCATTTATGTTAAAACATTAATCCTCACAACAGCCCTGCTGGGAATATGATAAATGCAATTCTGGCCCTCAGTATCCCTGGAAACAAGCACAGAGGATTTTAAAAGCTTTCAAATCAATGTAAGTCAATAAAGATTCTCTGGATGATGGGCTAATCCTAAACACTGGTGACTTGAGAGCTGGATAAAAGTTAACTCCCCTTTTCCAAAGAGCTCATGGGTATTCTGGGCACACAACTGGTCATATTTATGCAAAACTGCATGCACTGTTTTCTCTATACTCTTGAGAAGCAAGGGAGAAACCCTGAGAGATAAGGAATCCCCCAAACACACTGAGATACCCAGGATAAAACTGACCGGAAGTAAGTAAGTTATTCTGACTTGAAAGGTTTTGAATTTGTTTTTTTTCTGTTCAAAGATGGACACCCACAAGCAGGAACAGAAAATAATTATATTTTTCCATATCCATTTTATGATCACACAGTTCATCCCAGATGAATCTATGATGTATGTGCATCATGCTAAGTCGCTTCAGTCATGTCTGACTCTTTTGCAACCCCACAGACTATAGCCCACCAGGCTCCTCTATCTATGGGATTCTCCAGGCAAGACTACTGGAGTGGGTTGCCATTCCCTCCTCCAGGGGATCTTCCTGACCAAGGGATCAAACCCACGTCTCTTACATCTCCTGGATTGGCAGGCACTTTCTCTGTTACTAGCGCCTGCTGAAATATGATGTGATGTATGTAGCAAATATTTTCCTTCATTTTGCAATTGTTTTTTCAACTTTTCATATGGTACGTCTCATCATTTAGAAGTGTTTAATTTTTCTGTAGTTAAATCTGTCAGTCTTTTCTTCTATGGCTTCTAAATTTTACATCTTGCTTATTACTTCTCCCACCCTCTACCAAGCACTTATCTACTCTCTATTTCTACAAATTTGCCTATTCTGGCTAGTTAATATAAATGGAATCATACCATATGTGTTCAAAGTTCATCCATGCTATAGTGTGTATCAGAATTTCATTCCTTTTTTTACTGTCAAGCAATATTCTATTTACAGATATACCATATTTTACTTATCTATTCATTGACTAATAGACATTGGGGTTGTTTCTACTTTTTGGCTATTTTGAATAATGCTGCTATCAACATTCATGGGCAAGTTTTTGTATGGACATATATTTTCAATCACAGGAGTAGAATTACTGGGTCAAATGGTAATATTAAATGATTAAACTTTGAAGAAACTACCAGACAGTTTGGTAGTTTGGCTATTCCTTCTTACATCCTACTGGCAACCCATGAGGGTTCTGATTTTTCTGTATCCTCATCAACACTTGTTACTGTCCACCTTTTTTATGACAGCCATCCTAGGAGGTTTGAAGTGGTATCTGATTGTGCTTCTGACTTGTATTTCCCCAATGAGGAATAATATTAAGCATCTTTTCATGTACTTACTGGCCACTTGCACATATTCTTTGGAGAAAAGTCTATTCAAATCTTTCACCCATTTTATTTATTTATTTTTTTTTTATTTTTTTCATTTATTTTTATTAGTTGGAGGCTAATTACTTTACATCATTGCAGTGGTTTTTGTCATACATTGAAATGAATTAGCCATGGATTTACATGTATTCCCCATCCCAGTCCCCCCTCCCACCTCCCTCTCCACCCGATCCCTCTGGGTCTTCCCAGTGCACCAGGCCTGAGCACTTGTCTCATGCACCCAACCTGGGCTGGTGATCTGTTTCACCCTAGATAATATACGTGTTTCAATGCTGTTCTCTTGAAACATCCCACCCTCGCCTTCTCCCAGAGTCCACAAGTCTGTTCTATACATCGGAGTCTCTTTTTCTGTTTTGCATATAGGGTTATCGTTACCATCTTTCTAAATTCCATATATATGTGTTAGTATACTGTAATGGTCTTTATCTTTCTGGCTTACTTCGCTCTGTATAATGGGCTCCACTTTCATCCATCTCATTAGAACTGATTCAAATGAATTCTTTTTAATGGCTGAGTAATATTCCATGGTGTATATGTACCACAGCTTCACCTTTTTCTCAAGTGCACACAGAACCTTCTCCAGAATAGATCACATCCTGGGCCATAAATCTAGTCTTGGTAAATTCAAAAAGATTGAAATCATTCCAGTCATCTTTTCTGACCACAGTGCAGTAAGATTAGATCTTAATTACAGGAAAAAAATTATTAAAAATTCAAACATATGGAGGCTAAACAACACGCTTCTGAATAACCAACAAATCATAGAAGAAATCAAAAAAGAAATCAAAATATGCATAGAAATGAATGAAAATGAAAACACAACAACCCAAAACCTATGGGACACTGTAAAGGCAGTGCTAAGGGGAAGATTCATAGCATTAAAGGCCTACCTCAAGAAACAAGAACAAAGTCAAATAAATAACCTAACTCTACACCTAAAGCAACTAGAGGAGGAAGAAATGAAGAACCCCAGGGTTAGTAGAAGGAAAGAAATCTTAAAAATTAGGGCAGAAATAAATGCAAAAGAAACTAAAGAGATCATAGCAAAAATTAACAAAGCTAAAAGCTGGTTTTTTGAAAAAATAAACAAAATTGACAAACCATTAGCAAGACTCATTAAGAAACAAAGGGAGAAGAACCAAATTAACAAAATTAGAAACGAAAATGGAGAGATCACAACAGACAACACCGAAATACAAAGGATCATAAGAGACTACTACCAGCAGCTCTATGCCAATAAAATGGACAACTTGGAAGAAATGGACAAGTTCTTAGAGAAGTATAACTTTCCAAAACTGAACCAGGAAGAAATAGAAGATCTTAACAGAACCATCACAAGCAAAGAAATCAAAACTGTAATCAGAAATCTTCCAGCAAACAAAAGCCCAGGACCAGATGGCTTCACAGCTGAATTCTACCAAAAATTTAGAGAAGAGCTAACACCTATCTTACTCAAACTCTTCCAGAAAATTGCAGAAGAAGGTAAACTTCCAAACTCATTCTATGAGGCCACCATCACCCTAATTCCAAAACCAGACAAAGATGCCACAAAAAAAGAAAACTACAGGCCAATATCACTGATGAACATAGATGCAAAAATCCTTAACAAAATTCTAGCAAACAGAATCCAACAACATATTAAAAAAATCATACATCATGACCAAGTGGGCTTTATCCCAGGAATGCAAGGATTCTTTAATATCCGCAAATCAATCAATGTAATACACCACATTAACAAATTGAAAGATAAAAACCATATGATTATCTTTCACCCATTTTAAAATTAGAATATTTGTCTTTTTCATTGCTGTGTTATAAGAGTTCTTTATATATCCTGGATACAAGTACAATATCAGATATATGATTTGCAAGTATTTTCCCTTTATTATATTAAACTGTAGATTTCATTAGGATTTTCAGGTGTTCTTAGTACAAAGAAAGGCTGTGCTAGCTCATCACAGCCTGCTACTAGAATTGGAAATCTACGTATGGTTTTATACTCTAATTTTTCACTTAACAACAAAACACTGTAAACATCTTTCCATGAAAATTCAAAGAGTATTTACAGCTTTAGCTTTCAGGTGCCCTGGGCCAGCTTACACAGCTGCCAATACATGCACAGGCTTACTACTCTGCATTGCAGTGTCCAATACTCATTTGTAGCTTGAGCATTTGGAAGGGGAGAGAGACTATATCAGGCCTGGTGATAATTCTACAGGGTAAAACATTATATATGTATACTTGGCTGAATGGGGGCTTCCCAGGTGGCTCAGTGGTAAAGAATTCTGCTGCCAATGCAGGAGATGCAGGAGACCTCGGTTCAAGCCGAGTTGGAAAGATCTCCTGGAGGAGGGCATGGCAACCCAGTTCAATAGTCTTGCCTGGAAAATCCCAAGGACGGTGGAGCCTGGTAGGCTACAGTCCATGGGGTCATAAAAGAGTCGGATACAACTGAAGTGACTTAGTGCACAGTGTTGGCTGAATAAAATATTTACAGGGAAATAGGACAGAAGGTTTTTCCTTAAGGCATGATGTTGCTGTTACCCAGTCCCTCAGATTTAAAACAGAAGATGAGCTAAGTTATCAACACTCTGACCTCTGTAAACAATATAAGAACAGCCTCAGCAACTGACTTTCTTCTACTGACATTCCAAAGACACTAAATTAAATGGGATAAAACATCCAGGAAAGAAAGTCTTTGGGGATCAAAAGGAAAAAACTCCGTGAATTCAATGCACAAGATCATTTGAGCTTTATGAGTTTTGTTTCCTGATATACAAAATGCCAATGGCATTTTTAAAAAATCACTGAGAGTCTAATAATAAAATATACCAACTCCTCCAAAGTTTGTCCCAAGCAAATCGAGGATTTTTAATCACAGACTTGGAGGAGGAAATAAGAATGACTTTCTTCTGGATCATCTCTCCCTTCTCAGATTTTACTACTTTATAGGACCTCCTGGCAGAAGTCCTTAAAGAGAATTATATAGGATAAACTATAGTGACTGACTGCAGGGTCAACCAAGAGTCACACAAGACCGGTACCTGGCACTGAAATGTCCTGGGAGGGACCAGGCCCCCAAATGGTCAGCCATGCGGGAAAGAGTGATGGGTTTCGTCACAGGCGAGGGTGCA